CATAACACTACGCTGTTCCGTGTTGATGGATGGCGCTGTTGATGTCCTGCAAGCGGATACGAGTTTGCATTACTGGTTCTTACTTGCAGGACTTGCAGTAGCTTGTAGTGTCTATAGTTTGCTGCTGCATTTATTCGGTTCTAATAATAAGAGTTCGAGATTTTGTGCAAAAACGCAATGAGTGTTGATATTGATAATAGTGATTCGTCTACGTCGATTGTTAATTCTGATTTGTTGCAATCCGTAAACGATTGCAAAAACGTGCTATGGTCTCATCTTGGCGATTTTTTTGAGTTGGACACTCACGATAAAAAAAGCGGAAAATCGTTATTTTTATGCTTATTATGTAAACCTAAGAAAAAATACATATCGGCGTCGATATCTTCAAACTTGAATTTGAGAACGCATATCAAGGTAAGTTATTATTAATATAATAAAATAATAAATACATTAAATAGTCAGACCGCGGGAAACAAAGACATAGAGAATGGACTGCGCGATCCGTGTGTCAAAATAGTCGATAGGGACGAGAGAGAGGGACCGTGGCAGACGGCCATTTCTATCTCTTTCCATTCAATGGTGTAATGGGAGAGAGAATGAGAGGGAGATTGGCCGTCTTCCACGGTCCCTCTCTCTCATTATTGTCGACCACATTTGATACACTATTTAGATTCGGATCGCGCAGTCCATTCTCTATGTCTGTGGCGGGAAAGAATCACTTTTTGTAGGCCTTCTATATATTGAATAGAATAGTATTGGAAGAAATCCTCAAAACCTGATTTTTTTCCCGCGACCCGATCGTATTTCAGGTTGTTAAATTTTCAATATCACTGATTTTTATACTACTTTCTCAGAGTTTACCCTATTTCTATCGTTATAACGCACAGTGGCTACAACAATAAGCGACTTCAAAATAGCAAAGCGGTTAGGTATCGCTTGCCGAGCGATTGAATAATTGGTTGTTACTTATAGATCCAACCAATCATTCAATCGCTCGGCAAGCGTACCCTAACCGCTTTGCTGTCTTGAACTCACCGAACTTGCCCAATGTGTTTCATGTACTTATGGTTTTTATTTGTACGAACTATATATATATGTTGAAAAAAAATCATTCCAAAAATGTGAAATAATACGTATAACCTGAAAAAAATTTGGATCTTTACTTTTTTATGTATTTGTTCCGAAATTTTGTAAAGTATTCATTTTCTGACGTAAAATACATAATTTAGTTAGTAATGAAACGAATTCTTCGAATTAAGCTATAGTACTCACTATTTAATTATCATTTCAATAATCTTGTTATACAGCATATACATCTTAGTAAATTGGACGATTTTAACAAAGCTTCGAAAAACGGACCACGAACAGTTAAAAGAAAATCAGAAAATGAAAATTTTGATGAGTTACAGCGAGAACCAAAACTAAAGCAACAGAAGATGGATAGTTTTAAAAAAAATGGAAAATATAAATTTTTAACGAAACAACAGTTTGAGCAAGTCACTTTAGAGCTTGTTATTAATACTGCATCTACATTTTCATTTGTGGAGCATAAAGCATTTATCAAGTTTTGTGAAACGACAATTCAGCAAATGACTCACAAAACTCTCATGACGCACATTGATAAAATGTTTGTAAAAATGAAAATGGAATTGGTCGAAGAACTAAACAAAATGGAATGGGTGTGTTTAACGGCAGATTGTTGGACTGCATTTAAAAGGTAGTCACCGATCTATTTCTTATTAAACATTTTATTAAAAATCATCTCTTTATTTGCGATTGTTGATTATCATTTTTATCTTAAGAGCCTACTTAGGCATGACAATACACTGGTTGGATCCTGATACTTTGGAGAGAAAGTCAAAAGGACTTGCGTGCCGTCGGCTTCAAGGAAGACATACATACGATGTTCTCGCAAAGACAATTGAATCGATATTAATTGAATTCAATATCCAAGATAAGACAACATGTATTGTAACGGATAATGCCAGGAATTTTGAAAAAGCTTTTAGGTACGTATATTTAGTATCTCACGAATTTAATTATGTACTTATATAACACATTCACATTTAACAGAAAATAAATAAAAACTACAGTTTTGTATTTGAAAGGAGCTTAATAGTTAATAATGCGGTATTAATACTATTAATATAATATTTACAGAGTGTACAGTGAGAATGAACAAGAGGATGAAACAAAGAACGAACCTGGAGAAGGTATTATAGAGTCGGTCGAAATAACGGAATTTTTAGCCAATAGTGAAGAAAGTTATAGATTACCACCTCAACAGAAATGTGCTTCCCATACACTAAATTTAATTAGTACCGTTGATATAGTTTCTGCTGAAAAAGATGCTAATTACAAAGGAATGAGTAGAAGGGCATTCGCAAAATGTCGAGCTATCTTCAACAAGCAAAATCAATCGTCTGTCGTAGCAGATATGGTCAAAGCAAGTCTTGGAAAATATTTAAAAGTTCCAAATGCTACAAGGTAATAATTAGTGATTGATTAATGGGAAATAATTATATCAATATTTTTTATGTATTATGGTGGCCAATGTTTTGTAAATATATTTACAATCCTTCATTTTATATATATATATATATATATTAATTACGTTCTAACAAATAAGAAGAGAAGTGTACAAAAGATGAGTCCAATCTATTAATATTAACATGTGCCTTGGAATTTAATATTGTTTTTATGGCAACATCTTTTTCGTTTTGTTTCTGCTTTTTCACTGTATATCTATGGCCGGTATTCATTGTCAGTTTTTATATTCAAGACCGTCTCAAGTTCTGTCTTCAGGTGTCACGAACCAATCAGAGGGCCATATTAGTGTCTTAAAACATTACTTAAGACGGTATTAAAACAAGAATCGACTATAAATAACCGGCCTATGTATAAACTGATTATAAAAATTTTTTGTTTGTTGTGCATCGTTTTCACCTTTTAATTTTTTATTTGCTCGTTATTTAGATGGAATTCCTTCTACGATGCTATAGTGGAGGTAACAGACAATATTGAACAAGTGAACGCTTTAGCTTCTTCCTTAAAAATTCCTATTTTAACTCCTACCGAAATTGACTTTCTTAAAGAATATTGCATGGTAATGATGTTGCTCCTGTTTTTTAAGATATATGTTTAAGATTTCTATTATAATTATCAGAGTCTCGATCGCGGTGCTGTTTATTTTCACTCCAAGCGGCGCTCGGCGCTTGGAGTGGAAATAAACAGAACCACGATCTGGACTCTGATAATTAGTAATATGTCATGATTTCTTGATTATTATATCCTAATATTTATCTCACTGAAAGTTAAAATGATTCTTCCTTTCACGTTATACAAACACAATGTGCTAATTTCGTCCGATATTGTAATTTGTAGGTAATGGGACCTATTGCCAAAGGTCTGGATATCTTACAAAGAGACAAATATATCTTTATGGGATATCTATTACCTACGCTAGTATCAATTGAAGAGCATTTAAATGCAAAATTAACTGAGGTGCTTTATGTAAAACCTTTATTAAATGCTTTGCTAAAAGGTATTCGTAAAAGGTTTGTATTGATGATATTATAATATGACTAGATAAATAGAGAATTTAGAAAAATATATACATTAGCAAATGTGTGCTTCATTGAATTTAGCTCGAAAATTTCATGAGTATCTCAATTAAAAATTCAGTAAATTTGGCATCAAACTGTATTTTTATTGTATTAAAATATTTGTAAAATTTCATTTAAAAGAGATTAAAAATCATGAAATACGTCACTGATTAATTTTATTATTCCCCTCTTCATATCATATAACATAACAAAATCAATATTTTTAGATTTCATCATCTCTATAAGTGCAATGAACTAAGAATAGCTACCTGTTTGATACCAGATTTTAAATTGCGTTGGATACAGAATGAAAACGAAAAAACAGAGCTTACTGATTTATTAAAATCGATTGTTCAGGAATTTAACCATGAAAACTATGTAGTTTATTCAAGTACGTCCAAAAAACAAGTTTTAAATAAAACTGACAAAACTGATGAGTTTTTTATATTTAATAAGACGCTGGACCAGAACCAAAATAATAAATCGACAATTGAATATATTATTCAAGCATATTTGTCAACTGATACGTTTTCCACGGAAAAAGATTTCCCTAAGGCACTTAAATGTGCTTTTATAAAATACAACACGTCAATACCATCTTCGGCTCACGTTGAACGGCTGTTTAGTGCAGGAGGACTCATTTTCGATAATTTGCGAGGAAAAATGTCCGACAAAAATTTCGAAATGGCTTTGTTACTTAAATTTAATAATTATGTTAATTATATATGAACAAAATATTTAAAATATATACAACAATCTCTCTAATGTAAACAATTGTCTAATGTATTATTGTCTAATACAAAACAGTATATATATATA